TGATCAAAAGTCTAAAATGGTTTAAAACCATGTGAGGGTAAGTAAATGGGGAGAAAAGTTTAATTTTTGGGTGAACCGACCCATTAATCCTCATGATAGCTTTGTGTGAAAAGAACAAAGTTCGTCATTCACTGAAAATCTTCCCCTCCACAGTAGATCGCAAATGCATGTGAATGCACACATTCAGCCCTTGAGTTAGTTTTACAACTACTGTATGTAATTCAGTGCTTAATCGCCACTGAATTGTTGAAATCAAGTGTAGCATTAGTTCTGGCAGGTCACGACAGTCAAGCTTGCATCAGCTGATCCACGTCTACCTATAGGAATATGATGCCTATTACAGCATCCATATATACAAGGTCTATTCAGACTCCTTTTATCTTGAATAATGTTGTTACAATAAATTGTCATTAAGAACATTAATGATATCTGTTACTTTTGATTATGTTCTGTTTTGCCTAGGGGGGGTTATCTATTCTCTTATCTATTCTAGGTTTTTGTCCAGAACCGAACCATACCTCCAATCCAAACTGTGTGCTAATTGTCAATCATCTTTGACAGAACAATGCTTTTGGGATTCACAAACCTGGTGCATTTCAGTTGATCACCAAGACAAGAGAACTAATGGCATTAGTTATCACTGGCCACAAACCTGGAATGACACATCTTCAGATTTGAATAGAGCTGTGGTGAATAAAGATTTGAGAGCTGTGGTGAAGGGAAAGACTTTCATCAAATAATGGCTTGTATTTCAAACTAGTCATTATCTTATTGCTTCAGAAGACATGGAGCATAGTTTGTATAGACTTACTGTATGTGTCTGGTAATCTCTTTTAGCTATATGTTTTCATTTTATGGAAAGGAGAAAGCTGGGACATTCTGCTAAATATCTAATTTTATGTTCTATGGAAGGAAGTCACACGGGTTTTGAACAACATTAATGCCTGTAAATTATGGCACATTATGTTAATTTGGCAAACTATTCCTTTAAGTCATGTGATAGCAAACAGATTCCCGACAGTGCTTTGAGGCGGGCGTCAGAAAGCTCTGCAAGGTTTTCTTTCTTTCTTTCTTTTTTTTATGGGACTGCCCCTGTTTTAAGTTGGAAGTGTCCTTGCCCAGCCTGCAGAGTTCACATAACATATAATGTGAATAGAAACCTCCTGCTTCCTCTGCAGGAAAATGGGAGGGAGTGCTATGAGGTCACTTTCAAAACATGACTCCCAATCAGACAACGCCACAGTGGAAGATTTGTTCGAGTTATTTGCTTGCTCTGAGAAGTCACTGTTCCCATGTTCAAAGTGGTGACTGTTATTCACAAAGCTCTTACTTTTATGGACCAGAACTGAATGAAAGGTACAGGGTTTGAACACTGATTTCTTCTAATTTGACAAGCTATGAAATAGTTGATATACAGTAGCAGTCATTTAGACTCACTTTATTGAATTTATGCTGTTCATCTTCTTAAAAATGTAAAGGCTTCCAACTTAAATAAGTGTAGTTGACATATAAACTTTGCCTGTATGCATAGATATTCACAAAACTTTACAAAAATAAAGGAAATTTTGAAGCAGATAGTGAGAGAAAGCAGTGAACAAGTGTCCAGCATACAGTACATGGGAACTTGTTTTACATTGTTTAGAATGCATCCCAAGATGCACCTCATGAAGTTGGTTCAATGTCCAAAGTGTCCAGAGCTGGAATCGAGACAAAGGGTGGTGATTTTGGAGAAGCTTAAAGGGTTAGTTCACCCAAAAATTAAAATTAGCCCATACATTTCTCACTCTCAAGTCATCCTAGGTGTATATGACTTTCTTCTTTCAGACGAATCCAGTCGGAGTTATATTAAAAATTGTCTTTGATTTTTCAAGCTGTTTAATGGCACTAAGCGGGTGTTGCATTCATCAGTCTAAAGGAAGTTAAATAAAAATCGCCCATCCATAAAAAAAAGTGTCTCACACGGCTCCGGGTGGTGAACAAAGGCCTCCTGTAGCAAATCGATGCGTTTTTGTAATAAAAATATCCATATTCAAAGCGTAATAATCACTTTAATGTAGCTTGCGCCAATAGTTGTACATGGAAGCAGCTCCGGGAGGATGACATATGAGGTCAGCGCTGTCGTAGTAGTGAAAACCAACGTTTGTTAACAGGAGCAAAGGAAGCAAAGTTTCCTTACTTTAGCAAATGAAAACCAGTCTCCTCTTGGCTTATATCGAAATCCTCCGACATTCTTCTTTACAAATCCTCGTTTTGTACTTCTAATAAGTGACCGTGGTTTTGTTTTGATCTCTCCCCTGCACTTCCGCGTTCGTCACTTCTGAGCGGCGCATGCGCAACGCCGACGTCTTACGTCATCCGCCCAGAACTGCTTCAGTGCACAACAGAGAGCGCAAGCTACATTAAAGTGATTATTACGTTTTGAATATGGATATTTTTCTTGCAAAAACGCATCGAATCGCTACAGGAGGCCTTTGTTCTCCCCCCAGAACCGTGTGAGACACTTTTTCTTTATGTATGGGCGCTTTTTATTTAACTTATTTTGGACTGATGCATGCAACACCCGCTGAGTGGCATTAAACAGCTTGAAAGATCAAAGACAATTTTTTATATAACTCCGACTGCATTCGTCTGAAAGAGGGTGAGTAATTTATGAGCTAATTTTCATTTTTGGGTGAACTAACCCTTTAAATATACAATAGCTTTGATTTGTTTGGCTTTTTTAGTCAATACATGATCCCCATACTTCCACTTGTGTTATTTTGTAGTTTTGATGATAACTATAATGATAAAGAATGGGTAGGTGTGTCCAAACTTTCGTCTTGTAGTGTAAATGTTCAGTTCTTATTCAAATGGTAGACATGCTTTTGTTTTTGTGAGCCTGACATGTTTGTAGCATGCTGGTTAAGAGGCACAGGAGGTAGACAGGAATGTGTTTCCCCCCTCTTGCCCTGTAATTAGGCTTTTACCAGCAGGCAAACACAGTGATACGTCTCAGCTCACTGCTGGAAGGACAGGGAAGTCCTGCAAGCCGCAAATCAAGACAGCACGCTTTGAGTTGACAGGATAGACTGTAGTCGCAGGGACTGGAAATCTGGTCAGCTGCATGCATAACATGCTGCATTGCGCCAGACACAGTCAGTCTCTCCAATGCAGAACATCTTGAAGCATTTGGGTTCAGTCTGCACATGGTACCATTACTTCGCTCAGTCAGTGGAAAAAACTGCTTTGGCCTGTTAAATGCGATCAAACGGTACGCAGTATGCTTTTAATTAGACACCGTCTTCGCCAACACTACTTAAAACAGTGTAGTGCTTCTGTTGTTATTCCTTGGCCCAACAGTCTTCTCATTATATCCTGCATTCGAGCCGTTCACCACCCTTGTGGAGTCTTTGTGCTGGAGTGACATGTCCGAGCCTGGTCACATTAGCACTGTGTGAAATAGGAAGTGTCTGGTGGAATGTGCCTAGGGCTCTGTGAAAACAGTTATGTGCAACATGCTTCCTCTCCTCTGTGAGGGTATGTGTGTGACCTGCTCTGTCCACTGGTATTGCAATTTAGCATCATAAAGGATGTGCAGTATATGTAGTATTAATAAAATGCAATGTGTGTGTTTTATATCGAAATCTACCACTGAATGTACCGTAACATCTCCATTAGGGCTGCACGATTATGACAAAAATCATAACTGTTGATTATTACCTTGAAATTGTAATTGCGATTATTAATTACGATTATCATGATTTACATTGAATGATGTTTTGAATAGCTTTATACCATTGCTTGAAGCAACTGCATGCCATATGAAAATAAACAAGCTGAAAACACTCTTCTTGAAAACCTTTTTGCTTTTCTATAGCATTAAGCCTCATATGTCAAATATACATTGGTTTGGTTTCTTCTTTAAATAAAAAAGTCAAAATATGCATGGTATTATAATGTTATACTAAAACTAAAATTAAAACAATGGAAAAAACCCTTAAGACACACACACACACACACACACACACACACACACACACTAATCTTAAGCACGCAGAATAATGTGGACTTTTTTTTCGGTAATTGTGCCTTTGAACGATAATAATTGTAATTGTGGCATACATAATTTTAATCACGATTAGAAATTAGATTCATTGTGCAGCCCTAATCTCCATACAAAAATGATTGTAGTGTGCCATAACAGTGATAATATTAGATGATAATTTTGTGCAGTAGGCTTCAAACATCTAAATGCACAGTGAAAACCTGGAAATAAACAAAGTTTTATTATTTGAATGGTCACTGATAAAATAAGCAATCTGAGACCCTGAGCAAAGTGAACTTCTTTGTGTAAAATGTCATTCACAAAATATCTTCACTTCCACAAGTTATTTCAATGCATAGTTGTTTTTTTGTGGTACAGTCAGTCCTGAAAGCACTGCAGAGGCAGAAGGATGCTGTGTTTTCATGTCTGAATACTGAAATAGCATTCATGGAATTATACTACATTTTTAAGAGATCATGGCATGCAAATTACTTCTTATGAGGGGTACAGCTATATTTATTTTTTGTCAGCCAGAATTGTCATAGTTGTTTTCCAATCACCTATTAAGTTTGCTGGATAGCTAACCTTGCTTCTCAGGTGATTATAAAACCTTTGTGTGCAGTATGTGTGCAGTCTAAAAACATTTCTATGATGTGAGACCAGAACATGTTTCAACTAGGAACTGTGTCATTCTGGTTGCTACCATAGCGGTGATCTAATAAACATACAATGCAACATGCATCAACACCATTACCTATCATCACATGTCAATCATGACAGTCGAGGAACTACCATTGCCTCTTAACAACAGAATAACCTTTAAAACCTTCAGTGAACACATGTGGACTTGTTGTAGAATCAAATGGTCCAGAGATGCTTTTAGGTTCAGTTTTTTGCAGGGCACCAGCAGCTCCCAAACAATGTTTTCATTTGCCTGATGTTTCTATGGCACTGAGATGTTGTCTTTTGCTTGCAGGTGTGCTGATTTGTCTTTTGGAGGGGCAGCACAAGGCTCCATAAAATGACCCAGTCTGTGCATATTACCTCCAAACTGCCAAGTAAGTAGTTGTTTTTCTGCTCTCGGTAGATAGCACTGTTTCGAGATGAACACTTCTGCTATATTTGCATTGCAGATCTGAGTGCCCCTTTTCATGGCTCTACTGAGGAAGAAACAGATCAAGGTGGCTCCTATTCAGTACAGACACCCTACGGATTCCAGCTGGACCTTGATTTTCTCAAGTATGTTGAGGAAATAGAGAGTGGACACAACATTCGGAGGGCTAATGTGAACCCTCGGAGGGGATCCCGGGGTGACCGTGGGTATCAGAGGAATTTAAATGTTGGGGGTCGAACCAGTGGCTGGACCTCCACTGAGTCCCTTTCCTCAACAACCAGTGAGAATGGCCAAACTAACCCACCTTTTCTCCAGAGCCCCATCACATCACCTAGTAAACCACTTTCCCCATTACCAGTCATCAGTCCCAGTCTGCCTACTTGCTCCAAAGTGCCACCACCACCTCCACCACGTAACCCTAGGGTTGAGAGAACGCTCCTTGAAACTAGCCTTCGACTGCAACAGGAGCAAAAACAGTTTTCCAACGGGTTAGGTTCTAATTTGTTGAGTTCCAAAGCCAGTGGATCTAATAGGGACTTCTCTCTAGCTTCTTCCCAGCTTGCTTCAGATGCCCACTTGCTACAGATATCACCTGTTGTTCAGAACCCCCTTTCTGGGGTCTGGACCAAAGCAAGTCCTCAAACGTCTGGAAGGAGCACTCCAGCCTCCAACTCAGGAACACTGCCTCCTGGGCACCTTCAGACAGTGCGAGAACAGATGGCCAATGCCCTTAGGCAGCTAAGGGAGATGGAAGAGAGAGTGAAAGGACTACCAACTCTAGAAAGAGAAATTACCATACTCCGTGCTGAAAAAGAAAGATTGGCTCATGAGCTTCAAAAGAAAACAGTAGAACTTGATGCAACGCTCAAACGGCAAGTCTCCACTGAGGCAGTAGTAGGAGCCTCCCAACCTGGATCCCTACCATTGCCGTCACTTTGGAATAAAAAGCCAGAATGCAAATGTGATGAACAAGACAAAAAGGAAATAAAGAAACTAGACACTGCTCCTATAGAAAAAAGATCCATAGCAGTAGGTGGTGACAGTCCCCTTGAGACTGTGGTCGTCTTCAATCGCCAAGCGGTCAAGGATGCTGCTGTCGAAGCTACTATTGATGTTTGTCACGCAGCTATTGAGACTGAGACTAGTGTCATGCATGATGAGGCAATTCAGACTGGAGTGGCTACAGAGGATGTGGCAGTCTGGGTAACAGAATCATTTCTAGGGCTTCAAAGTGAGACAGAACGAGAAATTGAAAACTTGCAACACACTATCAAATTTCAACAGGAGTCAATCCAGGTTCTTGAGACACGATTAACTCAAGTCAACCAAGATCTCGAAGCTTTAAGGGCTCAAGAAATTGAGAGGGCATCCAAGATTATGCTGGACAAAGAGACAATAGCAAAACCAGAGACAGCCAATGCCCAAATGGAAACATGTCCTGAAGTTTGTTCAGTTGGAGTGCTGTTTCCAGATGTGACTGATCCGGAGTACGTTTCAAAAAATGATCAAAGCATTCAAACAGATCCTGTGGAAACTTCAAAGGAAAAAACGGTGGAGCTAGTAAGCATTGGTATCCAGTGGGAATGTCTAATTGATACACAAGACACTGAAGAACAGACAACTTCTGCAGAGGGTGAGCATTTTTATTTTCATAAAGCATGTTCCTGGTCATACGATGCACAATTACTCAAAGGTAAAAAACACCTTATCAATCTTTAATTCAAATGTTAATTAACTTGCTCTGCCTTGGTAGTGCTACTGTTGTAACACAGCCTCTCTAACATTTTGCCAGAGTTTATTCGGTTTGTTTGGTCTTGGCGGAATAGATCTGCCACGCTGATGCTGCGGCAGAGCAAGTACCAAGACTTGCTACTGCCAATACATCTACAGATGTTGCTGTGAGCATGTAGAAAATACTGCTGCTGCACATACAATATATATGAAATAACCCCCATATATAACATACATGAAATTACTTCATAGCAGACCTATACAGGTGGAGCTGGGGAAGGTGGAGGGTTTCTAAGTATTTGAATGTTGAGCAGCAAGCTCATTGGCTGCTGGATGCGAAAAGAACCAATCAGTTGTGCCATGTGAATAATGGTGTGATTATATCAGATTGAGTTAGAACTTATTGGCCTGCGCCATCTAAAGTTTCATGACAGAAATGTGCATTTATGCAGTTATTTAAAGCTGGTTAGCATTAATGTAATATGCACTACGACATGAATCAATTCAGAATAGATAAGCCTAAGTCCAACTATGCATTTGTTTCATGTTGACATTAACTCTTTCCCCGCCATTGACGAGTTATCTCGTCTTTTAAAAGAAAACGCTTCCCCGCCAAAGATGAGTTTTTACGGCTTTTCGTGTTTTCACTGTTATACACTCCGGGGAGCTATTACGCATCTTCTGGACGAGTACAAAACCTCCCGAACAAAAACACACGTGAATAGGATGGAAAAACTAGCGATCTCTTATGTAAACAGATGCATATGAAAAATAATGCGATCATCAGCAATAGACAGCATATAAATGAAAACTGCATAATGTTACAGAGTAAAATGTTGATCCAGGAAGTGGTATATGTCTGTGCAAGCTTTGGAGGTGTTGATGGAAGCGATTTACTGGATTTATGCTTTGATAATCGTACTGAATATTATCCAGATGTAGTTTTTGATAAAAATGTGATTTTCTCACCTTTTTGCTCACCATTATGCATTTTTTATGAAACCTACCTATATTCAAGTGTTGATAAAAAAAGAATTCTTTAAGCTAGAATAAAACAGATGTTTTTTTGTTTAAAAGTAGAGGCTCTGATCTTTATTTTGGTGTATTGCATCTTCAAATATTCATACAGCAAAATATACTGGAGGCCATCGAATTTGAGTGAAAATCATCAAAATCGCTGGCGGTGGCTGGCAACTTTTTTCAAAAATGCTGGCGGGGAAAAAGTTAAATCAATCTGTATAAGAGAACCACATATTTTTAAGGGTATCCATTGGAAAATCCCTTTAAGTGTGATTTCTTTGCAAAAAAAGCTGCAGGCCCTCTGAAATCTATCATGAAGAGGAAGGATGGGGGTGGTGCTGGCGCAGCTTACATCGGTGGCAAAAAGAGCCTGAAGTTTGTTGGAATTCTAAACGGAGGGTGAGTTACTAGAGCAGATTTTTAAATAAGGAAATACGAAATACCATTACTGTAGTAACAGACGGTGTCTCATGGCTTATTGCTTTTATAAAGTGATTTACGAAATTAAAATATTATTGTTAATGACAACAGTAAATAATTATTCTGCCAAGGAACAACTGTATATAATATCACTGGCTTCCACCATTTCTCTTCCAATCTTATTTCAGAACTGTAACTATCCATTTTGTTATTATTCGTATAAATATTTCATCTCGGACCGCAAATTATACAGAATTTCTCCTAAATTCTTTCAGTTATGAGTCGACCTCTAGTGAAGAGGAAGAGGATGAAGAGAGTTCCTCTGATGGAAGTGAGGCTGGTGCGTGTTCAGACAGCAGTGTGGAAGAAGGGGCAGCTCTAGAGGACACATCTGATGAAGAGATGAATATAAATGTGGATGAAACCGACAGTGATGAAAACATGCCAGCTGGGTCAGAAGATTTAAAGGACCAGGAAGAGGAAGTGAAGGAAAAGTAAGTGCATGACTGAAATGTCCCATAATCAGAAAATACTTTTGTGGCTTAGCTTTGAGGTCATCTATATGCTAGCATACATCTCAAAATGTGCTTTTAGCAGATATACACATTTAAATATTTGAGGTCTTTCTCTTGCAGACCAAAAATGACTCATCTTGTACAAGAGATATTTCTTTTTTAGAAAATGGTGATTCATGGCTATGACGTTGTTAAAGCAAACAATAATTGGAGGTTATCTTACAGGTTTGAACTAAGTGCCAAAATGCGTGAGGCTTGTCTAATTTTGAAGAACCACCTTAATGACGGAGCCAAATCAGTGAAGAGTAAAGAAGTGGTGGGAGCAAATCACACAAATTACAGTTTATTCACATTGTAGTTACTATTCCAAATTAATCATTTAAAATTACATTCCAGCCAAATTTAACCATTATGCTGTTCTGGTAACATATCTAACGCAGTTGTCCAGCACTCATAGCGTTCAGATGGAGTGGTTCAGAGTATCCAGTGCAAAGATGGCCCAGCCGCCGCGTGTGTCAAATTACCTGATGGCTTTCTCAGAGGTCTCCCCCGTCCTGCTGGAGCACATAGTCAACATGACCGATGGCAACGGCAACACTGCCTTACACTACAGCGTCTCCCATTCCAACTTCACCGTGGTGGACCTACTGCTTGACACAGGTTAATAGAATGTAGCTCTTTAGGACACATCAGAATAACATTGTAACAAGCAATTCAATTGAATAAACCATGGGAAAATGCACCCAGCTTCGATAAACAACGTAATGTTTTGTTGTTGCATTTAGAATGCAGCTTACTATAGAGTGAATTCTATGTAGTGCATACTGCTTTTATTTTAAAATATGTGAATGTGAAACAAAACAGTCATTTCCAACAGTAGTATACAACATGGTTGTCACATGACCTAACTATCTTGCAATTCCCTTGTAACTCTCGAAATGGAAGGTCAAGCTGTAAATAAGTGTACAGTTATACACGATATGCTAATGAGCTGTTCTGAGTTGTCTAACAGTTCGGGACCTTGTTACAAAACCTCAGTTGTGGATGTGTTCGTGTGCAGGCATGTGCAATGTTGATCAGCAGAATAAAGCGGGATATACAGCTGTGATGCTGGCAGCGCTCTCAGCAGTGAAGGAGGAGGACAACATGGCAGTGGTCCAGAAACTCTTCCGTCTGGGCAACGTCAATGCCAAGGCCAGCCAAGTAAGTCACTCAGTATTCATCTGTGATTATATCCTCTGCTAATTTGAAAATTACATTTCAACGTTCACTCATAAAGGTTCTTTATTGGCATCTCTTGTTCTTGAAGAACCTTTATCATCCATGGAATCCTTCCATATCACAAAAGGTTCTTTATAAGGGCTCTTATTAACAAGAAAAGGTGGTTCTTTTAAGAACTGTTCACTGAAAGGTTCTTTGGGGAATCCAAAATGGTTCTTCTATGGCGTCACACTTTTGTAAACTTAATTTTTTTTAGAAATGTGTTCATAGATACTGCTTGACTTGGTGTGCAATATTTGATTTTGATTTGCTAAAAGAAATGAAACATTAACAGAAATCTTTACAGAATACACCGTATATCACTGTTCAACAGTTTGGGGAAATTAGGTTTTAATTTTTTTTTCATATTAAACCTTTTATTAAACAAAGGTGCATTAAATTGATCAAAAGTGACCGTAAAGACATTTATAAGGTTACAAAAGATTTCAAAAATTACAAAAGGTTTCAAATAAATGCTGTTTCTTTGAACGTTCTATTCTGCAATGAATCCTGAAAAGCAATGTATCACAGTTTACACTAAAATCAAAGCTGCACAACTGTTTTTCAGCATTGATAATTGTAATAAATGTTTCTTGAGCAGTAAATCAGCATATCAGAAAGATTTCTGAAGGATCATGTGACACTGAAGACTGGAGTAATGATGCTGAAAATTCAGCTTTACATCACAGGAATAAATTGCATTGTGCTATAATATATATATATAAACTGTTATTTTAAATTGTAATAATATTTCACAATATTACAGATTTTACTGCATTTTTGAAAAGTAGTGTACTATTCAGATTTTTTTGGTATCAGCCATTTCATTAGATAAAAAAAAAAAAAAAAAAGTTAAGCCTGGCTAAAAATATATGCAGATGCTACTTGTTTTGATATTTTGTATCTAATGCAATGAAACCACACTACACTAATTAATCTCTGTGAGGCTTAAGTGTCTAAAATCTTCACCGTTTATAAAATATTTGACAAAAACATTTTCATTTTTGAATAAAAACCGATGATTGCATTATTAGAGTGTAAATGAAGGAAAGTGTTGGATCTTGCAGCTGAGCGTGTGTGTTTTGTTCTGTCTGTGCTTAGGCGGGACAGACGGCTTTGATGCTGGCCGTGAGTCACGGGAGGCAGGAGATGGTGCGAGCGCTGCTCGACTGCGCTGCTGATGTGAACATACAGGATGACGAGGGCTCCACTGCTCTGATGTGTGCGAGTGAACACGGTCGGCCTGAGATTGTGTCCTTACTGCTGGAGCAGCCGGGGTGTGACATTTCAGTCGTGGACAATGTGAGTACATCACAAGCACAACCATGATGAATATGTACATGACACAAAATATACGTAATACTGCAGCCTAAAATAAAGCCACGATTAAAGTGGCAGCCACAGTGATATTCAAAGGCAGGTGTACATACATACTCTACCAAGTGCAGTGCTATTTTAGTATCATTGAGATTCTATTATAGTTTTTATTCATTTTAAAGTTTTAGTAGTTGTGTGTGGGAGTGTATGTGTGTGTATATAAATGTTGCTGGACTTGGCATCCAGTGTTAAAGCATCCAGTCCAACAATGCATTATGGGTAAATCTATGCTCTCTGACTTCTTTCCTCTAGGATGGCAGTAATGCTCTCTCCATTGCTCTGGAGGCGTCCCACAATGATATTGCTGTTTTACTGTACGCTCACATGAACTACTCGAAAACGCAGGCGGATGTAAGTACTCTCACACTGACCACTCATGCAGCCCGTTTCTAACTCATTCCAGCAGAAACACATGGATTTTGCCATTTAAAGGAGTCATATGATGCAATTTCAAGTTTTCCTTTCTCTTTGGAGTGTTACAAGCTCTTGGTGCATAAAGAAGATCTGTAAAGTTGCAAAGACTAAAGTCTCAAATCCAAAGAGATATTCTTTATAAAAGTTAAGAGTCAACCACGCCTACCTAAAACACCTCGTTCTAACATGCCCCCACATGTCTACATCACTATGTGGGAAGATTTGCATAACGCCGCCCAAATGTTCACGCAAAGAAAGGAGTAACTTTTATTCTCGCTGTAGTATTGTTGTTGCCGCCGCCGCCATGTCGTCGTGGAGACGCTATGTGTTTCGTTGTGAAAGTGAAACTACTTTGTTTCAAATGTTCACGCAAAGAAAGAAGGCGTAACTTTTATTCTCGCTGTTACCGCCGCCGCCATGTCATGGAGACGCTATGTGTTTCGTTGTGAAAGTGAAACTACTTTGTTTGGTCTTTTAAAAGAGGACACGACTAGAAATCAGTGGTTAAGTTGTATCAAAGACTGTAGAATACCCAAGATATGTCACTCGTATAGTATTGAATGGGGGAAAAATGCAATGCTTAATATGGCCGCTCAATCGCAGGAAGCCCCGCCTTCTGAATGAAGGAGCCAATCGCTAATCGGTAAAGCGTGTCACTGCAGCTGCCGTTAGAAGTCCCGGTTGCTATAGAAACAGTCAGCGCTCTGAGACGTGCGCTCAGGACTGTGCATGCGCTCTGGCTGGTCTAGCCTGAGAAATAAGCTTTTTCTAACACTATTTGAGCCAAATAAACAACATTTATGACACGGTTGTCAGATTTCATTTGTGATTTAAAATATAAAATTTAATAGTAAGCTTAGTGAACAGTTTTGGAGAATTTGATGTTTCCCCATTCAAAGTGATAGGAGCTGCACTTGCATGCTCCAAGAGGCGTTTCAAAGATGGCCGCCGAGTGACATGACTTGCCTTTAAGGGACTTTGGTTGTATTTACAACACTGTTCCAGAACAGTTAAAACCAAATATTCGTGTGTGTGCAACGCATTTTAGAGGACGAGGACTGTTTCCCTACAATGCCTCTGTTCCGGTGAATTCAGTTCCCGTTTCCCCTTCGGTGCGCATGCTGACCACAGTCTATGATGCTGACAAATAATGCTGACTCACAGACTGTAAGTACGTTTTCATATTTAAAGGATTTGCCACTGACGATTCAAACGTGAGTTCTGAGCAGTGTAGAGTAGTGTTTGTTGTTTGTCATTTCTCCGATCACAAATGCAGACATGGTTTTATGTTTACGCGGCGCGGTGCAACGCAATGCGTAAAAAGACAGTATAAGTCATTATAATCCGTAATTATGTCCCCACTGGATGCAACAAATGCCTCATTTATAATAGGTTTTAATGTTTTTGTTTAGTCGCGCCGGGACACGGCATCACAATATGGTGAGGGGCGTAATATTTCCGTCACACGCTTGAGGTATTCGGCCAATCACAACGCACTGGATAGCTGGCCAATCACAGCACACCTCGCGTTTCAGACCGATGAGCTTTGTAGAAATCAATGCGTTTCAGAAAGGCGGGGCATAGAGGAGAAACAATAATGTACAGTATGTGGAAAATAATGTGTTTTTTGAACCTTAAACCGCATAAACACATTTCATTACACCAAATAATGTTCTTTTTAGCAACATCATATGACCCCTTTAAATACACTTTACAAGACTTGTTAAAGCGATGTGAGTGAAATAAGATATTTATTCAGAAAAATGTGGGGCGAGACTTAGCATTTCGGAGTTGATTTGGGGATGAAAAGCGGGCGTTACATTCAAAATTTTTATTAGTACATCCATTAAAAATTTAATTATTAAAATTGTATCATTCTGGAGAGAAATTAGAACATTAGCATTATATTATAAAGTGGTAACATAACTTTTGTGTTTGTTCTTTGTTCAGGTAGCATCCAAAGCAATCTCCCGAAGTCCGTCCAGTCCTAGAAAAACATGGCCCTCAGAGTGACACATTAAGAACAACATTGATATAAAAACAAGACTAACTAACTTTACTGGACGATTAACAATGTCTTTGTTACAAGTTTATATATATATATATATTTATATTGTATTCACTGATTATTCATTTTTATGCACATATTTAATGCACACTACTGCAAAAGAACTATGTAAACATATTAATCTAGGTAAGACCAATGCTTTTATGTACTTTTCCTCTTATACCGGTGTATCTACTATAGTACATTTCTTGTACTACCATGATGTCAGAGTTTAAAATAAGGAAATAAGGTATCTGGGATAACGGCAGCTTAGCTGTAATGTTATTGTGATCACATGGTTCACAAGCTGAACATGTGTTTTGGTTAGTGGTCAGAATGAGAATGAAATATTGCAGCAGATTAGAGTGAACAAGTCACATTCGCTTGAGAAGCTCAACCCCTCAATAATTATTAAACACACACATTGAGGCTTTATAACACAGGCAACCTGTGACGGCCATAATTATGTGCTGTTTGAAAAAGGGCAGCAACAAACACCTATGACCAGGGCCGTTTCTAGCCAATTTGACGCCCTAGGCGAAATCCCTATTGCCCCCCCCTCCAATTATATATATATATATATATATACAGTATATGTATATATTTATATATACATACATATATACTGTATTATCTGTAATATCATTGTGTTGCCACTAGATGCCTGTATAGCCCTATGTGACTCTCGTAGCGAAGACATTGCACATAATTTACACAAATCACACAAATTAATTTTATTACATTTGGATTTGGATGCATGTTTAGATATTATCAATGGCTACTTTTTTGTCTTTATCTGTTTTTTGTTAAAAAATGTTGTTGTTGTTTCCTGAAACATTGATTTAAAGTGTCAGTTATTGCATTATTATTTCAGTCAAACCCCTTTTTTACCCCAAACTACATATAAAAGCTTGATCAGTGGCATAAAAGTAACCAATGCAGCTACTTAATCATTTGCTACTCGTTAACGTGTTAATGTTCCCTTTAAATAACGTGATGCTCTGCCCTCTATGACGCTGCTCCCATTAAGCGCTGTTGGAAGTGAATGAATTGATTCAGCATTTCGACACCTCCGTAAGGATGCATTTAACTCGACAAAGCGGTCTAATAAAGGATGTATTGATCTTGTGAATTAGCAAATTTTACTATACAAATATTTTTTAATTGGATGTTAAAGTTTATATGGGAATATTACATGGCACGCTGATCCTTTAACAATGCATTGGCGCAAAAAACGCACACCTTTTGGACAAATATCGCAACATTATTTATCAAGTGCCACAAATACTGCCTAAACAAAATACTGATTTTGTTCTCTTTATTTACTGTACCAATATTTTTAATTGGCCTTTGAGCTTAGCTTTATTGCATGGCAAATAAATAGTGTTACCTTGCCAGAGCACTGACAGAGCCCACTGATCTAATGGCGTTGTTGAGCGCTCCAAATGCAAACTTTGCATGCAACAATCAGGCAGCAATTGACAGCACTCTGATCTAGCGGCATACAGGCATCGTCAGATTGGCAGTACTCTAGCCCAATAATGTTGGGGGTCCAGTGGGGGCGGCAGTCATATTTCAGGGTGACCGTGCCACTCTTTATCACAACCCTGCTAAAAGTGCCAGTACGTGCGCTCATTGGCGCCCCTTCAGCTGGTGGCGCCCTGGGCGACCGCCTAGCTCGCCTATGCCTAGAACGGCCCTGCCTATGACCCTCCACCCTTGTTTTCTACCGCAGTGATTAAATTGGCTTGAGAAAGTAACTTGCTAATCATGCTAGCAACATGGTAACGACATGCTAGTAACTTGCTAATCATGCTAGCAACATGCTAACGACATGCTAGTAACTTGCTAATCATACTAGCAACATGCTAGAAACATGCTAGTAACTTGCTAATCATGCTAGGAACATGTTAGTTACTTGTTAATAATGCCAGCAACATGCTAATCATGCTGGAAACACGCTAGTAACTTGCTAATCATGCTAGCGACATACTAGTCACTTGCTAATCATGTTAGCAACATGCTAGAAACATGCTAATGTCATGCTAGTAACTTGCTAATCATGCTAGAAACATGCTAACGACATGCTAGTAACTTGCTAATCATGCTAGGAACATGTTAGTTACTTGCTAATAATGCCAGCAACATGCTAATCATGCTGGAAACACGCTAGCAACATGCTAGTAACTTGCTAATCATGTTTGCGACAAACTAGTCACTTGCTAATCATGTTAGCAATATGCTAGTGTACTATTTCTTATCTATCTATCTGTTTTTTTATCCATCTATTTTTCTGATAGATTGTATTGCCTTCAAAACTGCTTCAAATTAGTTAAAACTGAAAACCCTCAAACTTTAAGCTTTTAAAACTACTTCAAACTTTCTGGCTAGGCTTTTTCAAGCCAACTTAAAGTTTGTCTACAAACTTTACTATCTAGTTTATTTTTGTCCTCTGATCTAACTGAATAAAACTCAGCCATTACATATACAGTCTGTATTGTCTGGATCAGATGTGGCCCTTAAGCGGAGCGTCTCGCGATCTGTTCTTTGAACTGAAAGGACTTTGCCTGACTTTGGAAAAGAGAAACATTTGGCTTCTAGACATCTTGACTGATCACAGAAAGATTACAGAATTGAACTTAAGAACTGAAACTGAATGAAATCAGGAATGGCCCAAATCATATCTGGATAAATCAAAACAAGTGACATTTAGAAGAAGAAGAAGAAGAAGAAGAAAAGCACTTTTCAGTAGTTAAGCTTGAAATCCTGACACTTTGTGGCTGTGAAATATTAAACAGGTTCATAATTATAATGTGATGAACTTCACCTGTGGTTACCCTGAGAGGACACTTGCGTAAAAGCTGTCCTATATGATTTATTTTCCATTGGGTTGGGGGAAGTCGTGGCCTAATGGTTAGAGTCGGACTCGTAACCCAAAGGTTGCAGGTTCGAGTCTGGTACCGGCAGGGATTGTAGGTGGGGGGAGTGAATGTACAGCGCTCTCTCCCACCTTCAATACCACGACTGAGGTGCCCTTGAGCAAGGCACCGAACCCCCAACTGCTCCCCGGGCGCCGCAGCATAAATGGCTGCCCACTGCTCTGGGTATGTGTTCACGGTTTGTGTGTGTTCACTGCTGTGTGTGTGCACTTTGGATGAGTTAAATGCAGAGCACTAATTCCTAGTATGGGTAACCATACTAGGCCACATGTCACGTCACTTTCACTTTCATAATTATTTGCTCACTATCAATTTGCTTGGTTCATTAACTTCAATACACTGATAACTGAACTTGGCACTTTACACAAATTAAGAAACCAGGTGTTGAGTTAAATACCTGTAAAAGTCTTAAACTAGAATGTTTACTGTAGATTTCAAATACAGACAATCTTTATTTTGTCCAAAGATGCTGCAGCAGCTCTGCAAACAGGCTAAGGAGTGTTATAGCTGTCCTTTAGTTGCTCATCTAAACATATTTTGACTATTCAATTGTATTATTAATTTTATTTTTATTTTTTTTACCAGGCCCAAAGTATGATTTTGTATAATGTTTGGTCTGTCAGTATTTTTGGTTTATTGTCCGTTTTACTTGTTATCTGTGATTTGTTTAAATGATTGTATCACGCTGTGCAGCTTTTGCTTTTTCAATTAGCATTTTTTTTCTTTTTATATACAATTAAAGGAAAAAGGTATAATGTCAGTTATTCATTAAGAAAATGCACCTATGCACTACAGTAGTGGATTTTGGTTATATTAATACATCAGTTTGACCTATACATCAAAGGCTGGATCACATTAAAACACTGAAAACAGTCTTGTTGTCTTCTATTGAATGCACACTTGGTGTACTTCAAATCTTAAAAAAAAAAAATAATTTTACAAAATAAAATGTACTGAGAGTGCATTTTAATGACTGTGTTTCTGACTGTCCTACTTCAGTACAGTTTTAAAAAGTGCACTTTGTAAAGATGTCAAATTAAAAGTTAACCTTGAAATACATTTTAAACAAGTTTTCATCTTTTGTTGTGCTTTAAAAGAAACAATCATTTTGATGTGTTGACTAACATACCAAAGCACATGTAAAGTACAAGATTATAATTTTAACTGTTGTGCTGCTGAATATTACATTTAATGTTAAGATATTTTAAATGTACTAAATTGCAACCTCTTCATTATGAATGTGCAATTATGAATAGATGGTATAGAAATGACATTAAAGTATATTTTAGTTTTCCATAAATGCTTATAAGTACATTCAGCAGTACACTTTAACCAAAATATATGTAATAATGAAATTACATATAAAGACGTGCTTAAGTCACACTTAAGTGATTCAAAAAAGCAAGTACACATTTACCAAATGTAAATAACATACAATTAAGTGTCCAAAACATTACATTTAGTTCACAAAGTACATTATTTCCATTCTTGTTTGCTGAAGTCATATTAAAACATGAAGTAAAACGGTTTAAATAACACTCCCTTTAGGCAAACGGAAAGAATTTGAGTGCATAACATTTACTGTCAATAGATTAACCCACCTTCATTTTCTGCAATTACAAGGTCAAAATGCATGTATCTGGTGTCACTAAAGTTGTAAAAAGTTAGCAATACAGTGGTTATTGTGGGAAGTCGTGGCCTAATGGTTAGAGAGTTGGACTCATAACCCAAAGGTTGTGGGTTCGAGTCTCGTACCGGCAGGGATTGTAGGTGGGGGGAGTGAATGTACAGCTCTCTTCCACCTTCAATACCACGACTGAGGTGGTATTGAGCAAGGCACCCCAACTGCTCCCCGGGTGCCGCAGCATAAATGACTGCCCACTGCTCCGGGTGTGTGTTCACGGTTTGTGTGTTCACTGCTGTGTGTGTGCACTTTGGATGGGATAAATGCAGAGCACTAATTCCGAGTATGGGTCACATACTTGGCCACATGTCACGTCGTTATAACTGGTTCTGTTAGAAGAATTGTTGGTCAGAACTAAAGAATACATGCTGTGTCCTCTTGGCCTTGGTGAAGTCTTGGTGATGCACCTGAACGTGGCTTTGGATCTGGTCTATGCTCATGGTCTCAGGCTGGACTGTACTGAAGATCATCATTACCTCAACCACTAACCTGCATGGTATCGTCACCATTAGAGAATTCAGAAGAACTGCATGGCTCTGAATGACTGTTTAGCACTGTACAGTGTGGCTCAGTCTTTAAAATGTGGTGCAATGAATACAGCCTGGTCTGGACTCAAACTCCTAGTAGATTGAAGCTATAAACATTTGAGAAGCTGTAAAGAAGTACAAATATACAACATGAATCTTTTAGAAGACAATGGTGTTTTAACAAGACTTGCTTGTGCAAGTTTCTTTCACACTTTAAAGCCTCTGGCGCGACACAGGCTGGTCTTCAACCTTATTAGTTGATGCTCACAACCATTGCAAAAGTCAGTATAGCACCAGAATGGAGTGGATTTCCAAAGTGTTTTCCTAAAAGACAGCAAAGACATGGTTCATGAACAAAATATCTTAACCCTGTAAAGCCTGACATATGTGACCCTGGACCACAAAACCAGTCATAAGGGTACATTTTTCAGAATTGAGATTTATACATCAGCTCAAGCTGAATACATAAGCTTTCCATTGATGTATGGTTTGTTTAGCATAGGATACGGTGGCCGAGAAGTGCAAAACAAATCACAATTCTGAAAAGAAAATAACAAATTACAAATGCAAGTCTAAAAAACAGAATAATTCACAAAACACAACAACAATTCAGAAAACATTATAACAAGTCAGAAAACACAATGACAAATCAGACAAACTGGAAGAGGTAGGTATAGTTTGAGACAGTGCCATTGGTTTGGCATTACTCACCGCTGACTGGACGAGACATCGGTCAATCAACGTATACAGGAAGAACCAGCCGAAGAACTGCAGAGTCGTGGTAGAAAGTTCGGAGATGGTATTAAAGTAGCCCAGTTTAAATACTATTGCATACTGTTTTATAATGTACTACAATACTGAAGTGCAGATAATTGCCACTATTTGCAACAAGTAGTATACTTGATAGTAGAAATCCTGCTATTTTAACAGTGTAAATAGGTATTTGCACTTACTGTAAATAGAATCCATTGCTAATACGAGATTTGAAAAGGGAGAAAAAAAAAAGTTTGGCAAAAGGCGGGATCAAACCCGGGTCGATCAAAAAGCCAACGACACGCAGTTATCCATCTGCGCCACTGGAACTGGTGTTTTACAGCCACTTTTAACTAAATGTAAATATATACTCCGTATTTTTTATTCCACAGTAAGGGCAATTCATACAATACATTTAAACTGAGCTACTTTAATACCATCTCCGAACTTTCTACCACGACTCTGCAGTTCTTCGGCTGGTTCTTCCTGTATACGTTGATTGACAGATGTCTCGTCCAGTCAGCGGTGAGTAATCCCAAACCAATGGCGCTGTCTCAAACTATACCTACCTCTTCCGGTTTGTCTGATTTGTCGTTGTGTTTTCTGAATTGTTATTTTGTTTTTTAGACTTGCATTTGCGTTTGTAATTTATTTTGTTTTCAGAATTGTGATTTGTTTTGCACTTCTCGGCCACCGTAATAGGACAATATTTGGCCGAGATACAACTATTTGAAAATCTGGAATCTGAGGGTGCGAAAATCGCCTTTAAAGTTGTCCAAATTAAGTTCTTAGCAATGCATATTACTAATCAAAAATTAAGTTTTGATATATCTACAGTAGGAAATTTACAAAATATCTTCATGGAACATGATCTTTACTTAATGTCCTAATGATTTTTGGCATAAAAGAAAAATCGATAATTTTGACCCATACAATGTATTTTTGGCTACTGCTAAAAATATGCCCCAGCGATTTAAGACTGGTTTTGTGGTCCAGGGTCACATATAAAATCATAATAAAAAAAATCTTTGAATAATTTTTTCTTTGAAACTGAACCTTTCAGATGATCAATATTTGCAATTGTTTAAGTATCATATTTGATGCATCAAGCTATTATGGCTCATGTAGTATATGATAAAGGCAAGATGGAGCTCACACTTTAGGCAAAAATAAAACTGTTTTATTCAGAGGTCCGAACGGAGCTAAAATATGCAATTTGGTGCAGTTAGTGATATTAATATGGACAAAAAGAAAGATGAAATTCTGATTGTTTGTAATAGCAAATAAACACATTCTTTATAACAGTACAGAAATATTGAAATACTACAATATAAAATATGGTCACTATTTTAAGGTTAAATTCTCACTATTAACTATGACTTTTGTCTTAATAAACTCCTAATTATTGCTTATTAATAAATAGTAAGGTAGCTGTATGGGATAGGATTAAGGCATCTAAAATATGGTCATGCAGAATTAGGTATTAACGTGCTTTATAAACAGCCAATGCTAATATGCATGTTAATAAACAACTAGTTAAAGGCACAATATGTAATTTTCGACACTAGAGGGTGCGTATTCAAAATAAACAAATAGACAAAGGCGTAGTTTGATGACACCGTGACTGAGTGTGGAATCATGGGAGTTGTGGTCTTCACAGCCGAAGCAATCCGACGGGACTCGGGCAGAAATCACGTTCATGGATGAGCTAATGATTTATTAATGTAGTGGAATGAAGCAGGGTGAGGCTGAAAGCCGTCGAAGCGAAACGAGGCGCTGAACGAGCGTGACACACGGCTCGAAAGCAGCGGAGCTTTTATTATGCCACAGCCGACCGCTTCCGCTTCTTCCGGTCGTGAGTATGCGGGGTAAAGCAGCGCTGTTTTATCATACTAGATACATTTGAAAGTTCTGTTATAATGCCACTCTGTGCGGTCGTCACCGGTCTATTAAAACACACAACATATTAAAGCGTCTTTGGTGTTTCCATGTTTTCTACAAAACAAAACCAGAAATCGAGGGGTTATGGCGTCATTGGCAGGCGACACAATGACACTATAGACACGGTGCGTGTCACTAGTTAAAATTGCTTATTTCTCTGGATTCAAACATTCTTCTAAACATTTGGGATAATGTAAGTACATAAGTCAGCAAAATATATAACACTGTTCTAGTGGTTTTTGGATATTTTAATATAAAAAATCTTACGTATTGTGCCTTTAATGCCAAATTGACTCTTATGTTTACTTAAAATCAGTAAACATTTCACGACCTGATGTATCTGATTGCCTTTTACTTGCTACAAAGTATAAACTATCAATCTGAGGGCAGAACGCATGTAATTCAATTCTGCAACAGGTTTTTCATCAAAGTTTAGAACATGTTGATAATTTAGAGGCCTTAGGAATTTGCAAACCACCTGCCGATTTTTCCTGCTTCCAACACATGAAATTCAAGAACTGACTGTTCACTTGCTGCCTAATATATCCCGTCCCCAACAACACGCTCACTTCACCTGTCAGTGACCTATAACTGGGAATCAACACACATCAAGTCAATCACTAAGTTTGTGGATGACAACACTGAGGAGGGACCGATTCATAACAGAGACGGGGTCTGCAAACTATCAGAAAGGTGCTCCTTTTGAATGGCACTGAAGCAACACTGACCTAAAGTGAGCCGAATAATGACACTTCTGTCGAAACTGAACACTTCATAAATGATTACAACACTAAGTATTTTCCTGTTTATCAATGTGAGGTGATGCAATGCTTTGAATCCGTATTGCATAAAGCACTATATAAATAAATGTGATATAACTCACCGTTCACGCTCCAATCAATTCCCAGTAGAGAAATTCATCATATTACAGAAGTAAATCAGATGGCTTATTTCATGCGGTCTTCAGTGAAACAAATATGCTACTTTGACTAAAACAGCATACATGAAAGATAAACGACCCCAAATTCATAAAAAATATGTTCCTTTAATAATACACACTTAAAATATGAACTGCAGGTAGTAGTGTGAGGTGTCCTTACGTGAGAGCCACGAGACTGCGGCTATCGCTGGAATCCATGTTGGACCGAAACACGACTGCATTCATAGAACTGAAAAAGCTTAAGTTAAATGAGCAGAGAAAGCGCGGAAAGAGCATTTCTGTACGTTACGTGTAGAAATCCAGTCTCTGTATCCTGATCAGCCACTAACTACAAATTTTAAAAATAAAGACACGTTTGGCAACATAATCAGTGTTTCAAAGGGAGCCGGAAAGGAAACATTACCTAGATGTGGCACATGATCCAAAACTTGTTTATGAGGTTAATGAGCTACTGGGTTCTTCTCCGTTCTCGGAGGTGTCCTTTCTGATAAAAGTGTGCCGACATGCACAAAATTACATGAGGTTTGGGGACAAGTCCGTTTCTGGCTGCTGCGAAGACACTCCTTCCAGAAAGAGTGCGAGTAAGCAAAGGCGGGTTGGGGAACCGGAGAGGGCCGTATTCACTGTCACTGTTGCTGAAGGAAGTAGAGGAGGCTGGGAAAGGAGATGCGCCGCTCATCAGAGGTGCTGCTGGAGGAAGTACAGTAGCATGATCTCGTAGTGCTCTCCGGACTCAGGACAGCGGATGCTGTGTCTCTCATTGGGGTAGATCTACAGAGAATGCAAATTAATTATGTGGCTGAGGGGGAAAAAAAATACTAACATTATAAGGTTATATATATTTTTTCAAACCTGTAGCTGATATGGCTTTCCTGCACGGATGAGTTGAGACACCAGGAAGTTGGTGTGGAAAAAGTGCACGTTTTCATCAAGGAACCCATGTAAAATAAGTAATCGGTTTGGACTTGAAGAAAAAAAAA